CATATTTGCTAGCTCTGTGCTCTTGCCACATTTATTGATTCCAATTTTTCTTGAACTTGTTATTTTAAAAGACAATTTGGCGAGGATGTGGATGACTATGACATTTCTGAGCACTGTCTTTATTTCAAACTGTATATTTGATAATGTAATACCTTATTATTAATAAGAAGACTTCATATGTTCCCTTGTCTAAAATCAGGGCATTTATTAATCTTACAATATTTTAGTAGCATTGTTGTTATTGTTAAGTGCCATCAAATTGGTTCTGACTCATAGCAACCCTGTGTAGAGAGTCCAAGGAGCCACCAATCTCCTGGTTAGCAGTCATGTGCTTATCCCACAGAGACCAGACCACTATTGTTGTTGTTAGGTGCCATCATGTCGGTACTGACTCACAGCGACCCTATGCATAACAGAACGAAACATTGCCCGGTCCTGTGTCAACCTCACAATTGTTACCATGCTTGAGCTCATTTTGAGGCTTGAGCCCAGCTTGATGCTGCCACTTCTCGCTGGGGGTCTTCCTCTTTTTCTCTGACCCTCCACCTTACCAAACATGCTATCCTTCTCCAGCGACTGCTCCCGCCTGACAATATGTCCAAAGTATGAGACACGAAGTTTGGCCATCTTGGACTCCAAGGAACACTCTGGCTGCACTTCTTCCAAAACGGATCTATTGGTTCTTTTGGCAGTCCATGGCACTTTCAGTATTCTCCTCCAACACCATAATTCAAAGGCATCAATTCTTCCATGGTCTTCCTGTCCAGCTTTCGCATGCATTTGAGGTTATTGAAAACACCATGGCTTGGGTCAGGCGCACCTTAGTCCTCAAGTTGACATCTTTGCTGTTCAACACTTTAAAAAGGTCTTGTGCAGCAGATTTGCCTAATCCAATACGTCATTTGATTTCTTGACTGTTGCTTCCATGAGTGTTGATCCAAGAAGAATGAAGTCCTTGACAACTTTAATCTTTTCTCCGTTGATAAGAATGTTGTTTATTTGTGCAGTGTTTTTTGTTTTCTTTACATTGAGATGCAATCCATACCTAAGGCTGTGCTCTTTGATCTTCATCAGTAAATATTTTAAGTCCTCTTCACTTTCAGCAAGCAAGGTTGTATCATCTGCATATCACAGGTAGTTAATGAGTCTTCCTCCAATCCTGATGCCTGATCCCAGCTTCTCATATTATTTGCTCAGCATACAGGTTGAGTAAGCATGGTGAAAGAATACAACCCTGTCGTATACCTTTATTAATTTTAAACCATTCAGTGTTCCCATGTTCTGTTCAAAAAACTGCCTCTTGATCCATGTACAGATTCTCCATGAGCACAATTAAATGTTCAGAAATACTCATACTTCACAATGCTGGCCATAGCTTGTCATGATCCACACAATCAAAAGCCTTTGCATAGTCAATAAAGCACAGGTAATCGTCTTTCTGATATTGTCTGCTTTCAGCCAAGATCCATCGGACATCAGCAATGATATCCCTCATTCCATGGTGTCTTCTGAATCTGGCTTGAACCTATGGAAGTTCTCTGTCAATGTATGCTTTCAGCCATTACTTTACTGTAGGTAAACATAATTCTTCATGGAAGTAAAAACAACCACAGTGTGGTTCAACAACAGCAAAACACCCTGAAGTAAAGAAATTTCTCATCCTCAGTTTTTGTGCACAGATTAAATCAAACCAGTAGCTATATGACCTACATTTATAAAAATTAAAGAAGAGAAAAGCCTGTTTTCAGCTAAAACTTCAGGTTTGGGAGATGTATGTGAGCTTCACGCAACCAACCAAATGATGATGTGGAGCTCAGGAGTTCTGAGTTGTCGACCTACTGCCCAGTACACTTAGACACACCCACAGCACACATACATAAAAATATACACTTCACAGTGCAAAGACCAGGAAAACTGAGTAGCAGACAATTAATTCAGAAGAGCCTTATAAAGAAATCCATGAAGGTATGAATAAGAGTGGGGAAGGGTCTAAGGGATGGATGATAAACTTACACACAAATAACACTTGCGCTTAAGAGTATCACCAGGCAAATGACGAGGCCCTGGGTGGTACACTTGGTCAATGCAGTAGATTGCTACTAAAGAGTTGGGTCTACCCAGAGAGTTCTCAGAAGAAGGCCCAGTGATCTACTTCTGAAAAGTCAGCCACATTGAAAATTCTGTGGAGCTCCGTTCTACTATAACATGCATGTGGCCATCATGAGTCGGTGTTAATGGAGTGACTTGTGCACCCCCCAAATACGAGAGGTCTTCAAAAGTTCATGGAAAATATCCATTATCCTTTATCCCATTTTTATACAAACTTGTTGAATCCCCTTCATGGGTCAACTTGGTTACTCAGTGATGCTCAGTATTATATAATTATTCTCCATTTTATGATCAGATGTAATTAACATATGCATTGCAAAGCCTAACCTCTGTGATTTTAATGATGCAGTATTGTTATTGTTAAGTGCCTTTGAGTTGGTTCTGACTCATAGTGACCCAATATAGGGTTTCTGTGGAGCAACTGGTGAACTTGCAACACCGACCTTGAAATCCAGTGCTTTATCCCACAGCACCACACCATGACTCTGATGAAGTATTGTTGTTGTGAAGTGCTGTTGAGTTGGTTCCGACCCATAGCAACCCTGTATAGGATTTCCGAGGAGTACCTGGTGAGCTTGAACCACCGACCTTGCAGTTCAAATGGCTTTGCAGTCTGGTGCCTTAACCCACAGCGCCACATCACGACTCCATGATGCAGTATTAGAGGCAGTTATATTAATGAGACAGGATATAACTTACAAGTTACATTTTGAGTCAATCTCTTTTGAGTTATAGAAGAGATGTAAAAAGTGAGCAGAGATCAAGGGGCCTCCTACCACCAAGGAAGAAGAGCCAGGAGCTGAGTAAATGCATTGAAGACAGGAACCCTGTGCTGAGAACCACCTAGACCCAGAGCAAGACAGATGTCAAGATACGTGGAAATCTCCAAGGAATGCTGGGCCCAGAGATGTTGAAAGGAGTCAAGGACCTTCTCCCAGAACAAACAGAGAGAGAAAGCCTTCCCCTAGAACCAGTGTCCTGAATTTGGATGTTTAGCTTCCTAACTGTAAAAGAATAAATGTCTGTTTGTTAAAGTCATCCATTTATGGTATCCTGCTATAGCAGCGCTACATGAACTAAGATAGCCGATTAACTTGACAGCAACTGGTTGGCCTTCTCAGATGGAAGAAAGGACTCAAGTGGACAGATGATAGAATCTACTAATACTGGGATGGAGAGGCAATCAATTGAGAAATTCTGCTGGGAATAAGAACAAAATAGCAGAAAGACCTGTATACATGGAAAAGACAAATATGACAATAAAAGAGATGGTAACATTCTGCTTCATTAAAAAAAAAAAAAAAAAACCAATAACTTCATTACAACCTTGCATTAAGCCTATAGTGTTCCCTAAACTCTGTTCAAGTCCTTTTCTCTGTTTTTTGATTCTTTTGAAGTCGTGCTCACCTCCTTAAGCTTTCTTTTTCTTGTACAATACAATTGATATCAATAAGGAAATGCCTCATCTGATCTTCCCTTGTCTCTGAATTCCCATGTGCAGCTCAATAAAATATGTTTAGCTATTTCGTTTTAGAATTCCTGGTGTGACACTATATGATAATCACTGGACCGCCTGGTCAGTTTGAACTGAAAGGTTGGCAGTTCAAACCCATCTGTCGCTCCTCGGAAACCCTATACAAGGTTGCTATGAGACAAAAGTGACTCAACAGCACTTAACAACAACAACATTCTATTTTAACTGGTAAAATAAAGAGCAATGAAAAATGTGAAAGTTTGTAAAACAAGAGTGGAAAAAATAGAAATAATTTTGGGGAAGATGAAAATGCTTGTATGACTCACTGAGAAAAAAAAATAATGGCTGATGAATATAATGAGAGAAAAGAACAATCCTAATATATTTTCTCAGTATTTTATTTTCTCAGTGTTTTATTAACATTGAGTCGCCTTAAGATAAACAATCTAAAAAGATGTCATCTAATAAAATCAAAATTATTGCTTAGTAATGGCAATAATTTCCAAGTATGGGAACATGCTGACATCTTACAGTTTACTGAAATCTGCCTAGGTCAGGATGTCAGCACAGCAAATTTTACTCCCAGCCATGTCAGTAAGTTATCATCTAACCTTAAGCCAATCATTTAACTTCCATGTTTTCACATTTTCTTGCCTATAAAATTAGAACACTTCAGTGCCTCTAAATATTTATACCAAGCAGAAACGTTCTATAAAATCAAGTTAAAATTACTAATAGGAATCCAAAGGAAAATATATGGCATTATTTTAGATATGGTGATATCTTTGATTGCAGTAAATTCTTAAAGCCTACCTGAATTTCGTTTTTAAAAATCAGTGATCATATTTAATATGCACATTTACTTAAAATATTGTGGAGAAGTTAGAAATGAATGTACTATGATTTCAGGGGGGGTTGTGGGTCTCACAGGTTGGTAATAGTTTGTTGAATATATGAATCTCCAGAGTTTGGTCTTCAAAATTAATGGTCTTAAACCACAAAGTATGTTGTTGTTGTTATGTGCTGTGGAGTCGGTTCCGACTCATAGCGACCCTATACAGGGTTTCCGGGGCTGTAAATCTTTACAGGAGCAAAAAGCCTCATCTTTCTAATGCAGAACAGCTGGTAGTTTCAAACTGCTGACCTTGCGGTTGACAGCCAATTCATAACCACTATGCTACCAGAGCTCCTTAAACCACAGAGTTTAGAAAGAGATTAAAACAATGGAAGGGACAAAAAGCTAATTGAAAGGTATCGAATGCAAAAAGCCCTAGAGAATCAAGGCAGGTAAATTCAAGAATTCACACAAGAGAAGATGATAAACTTGAAACTATGCTACATTTATAAGGGAATCAGCTGAAATTGTGGTCAGCCACCAAAGACAATGTCAAACTACAGCTCTTTTCTTCCCCTCCAGCAAGTGATGGAGGTTGTAAAGCCTGCAGATAGCCCTTTCCCAGCTCCTCTGGAAGAAGGAATCTCATTGGATATTTTCTCAACATTCATCATGCCACCCCCAGCATCTGTTACAGAAATGGAGGTATGTTTCCTTTTCCTCCTCCTTCTCTTCTTCCTCCTTTGCTTCTCCTCCTCCTCCTCCTCTTCATTCTTATTCTAACTCACCCCACTTCAAACTTATATTCTCTGGATTGGGGTGGAAGGGAAAGGAATATGCTTCCAGTTGTTGTTTTTTTTTTCCTTCTGATTTTCCTAAACAAATACGAATATTTCTTTTAGTGTTGGTTCACAGCTGGACTAGTTGAGAATGGCTTGACAATTTTAATCCTTTCCACCCCATCCTCCGTAATCTCCACTATTGTTGTTGTTGTTAAGTGCCATCAAGTCGATTCCGACCCATAGTGACCCTGTATAC